GCCTCAGGAGGTGGAAAGCAGCTCTCCACCAGCACTGTCTTTGGTGCGGGTGGGGACCTCCTGACCTCGACTGGGGAGGTCGTCGGGCGGTGGAAGGAGTACTTCGAGGGTCTCCTCAATCCTGCCGTCACGTCTTCTGAAGAGGAAGCAGAGACGGTGGACTCAGAGACGGACCCACCCATCACCCGGGCTGAAGTCACCGAGGTGGTTGGAAAGCTCCCCGGTGGCAGAGCTCCGGGGGTGGATGAGATCCGTCCTGAGTACCTCAAGACTCTGGATGTTGTGGAACTGTCCTGGTTGACGCGTCTCTGCAACATCGCGTGGCAGTCAGGGACAGTGCCTCTGGATTGGCAGACCGGGGTGGTGGTCCCTCTGTTTAAGAAGGGGGACCGGAGGGTGTGTTCCAACTACAGAGGGATCACACTCCTCAGCCTCCCCGGTAAGGTCTATTCCAGGGTACTGGAGAGGAGGATCCGACCGATGGTCGAACCTCAGATTCAGGAAGAGCAGTCTGGTTTTCATCCTGGTTGACTGGAAGAAGGTCCTCTAGACAGACGAGTCCAAGTTTGAACTCTTCATTCAGCATCGTCTTCTTTCTGTCCACAGAGAAGCTGGAGAACGTTTTGAAGCCAGATGCATCCACAGTGACACACGGTGGAGGTTCCATCATGGTATCGGGCTCCATTAGTGGAAACGGCAAATTAGTGAAAATCAACCGTGTCATGATCAAGAACATCTACCACAACATCTTAGTGCATCATGGAATCCCTTCTGGACTGAGGCCCCGTTTACACCTAGCCTAAACGGTGATCCTTCAATGGGCCTTTGGTTTACACGTAAACAAAGCTACGGGTCACCAGAAACCATCACATCTGAAAACTCCGGCCACAGTGGAGATCTGGAAAAACCCCGTCTTTGCGTTTGTATGAAGACGGAAGGAGACGGAGTTTGAACACATTTGGGATGTCGTACGATCAAAAATTGATCGCACAGAAGTTTCATGTAAAGCAAGTCTGTGGGAACATCTAGAAACTCTCTGGAACTCAGCAACAACAGAGAGACTGTTGAAAAGTTCAGAAAAACAGCAAGAAGCAGCTGTTATCAAGACCAAAGGAGGCCACAGAAGATATGAAGGTTTGTGGTTATTATGTGTGAAAAAGGACGATTTGGTTGTTTCAGTTTGTTATTTCCCAAATAAACAACACACTTTTAGTCTTAAACAAGTTTTTTGGTAGATTTCTAAAATATTAATGTTTTCTCGTTTTTATGACAGGTGGTCTATAAGATTATAATCTTGTGACACATTTGTTCAGCACTGTGTAGACAGACAGACAATCTGTCTTAACAGCTGAAATGTATTTAGTCGTCATACTTCATCACGTTTCTTCCATGTTTTTGCTAAATCTGATCACAGTTGCCTAATATTTCCTGATTTGCTGTGAATATGAATCAGTTACGACAATAAATGAGGTTTTATGACGTGTTCTTACCTCTTCTGTAGACTTGGCTCCTTGCATCAAAGACAGAATCCCATAAGCTCCAGACACATAGTTAAACGTCTCTGAATGACAGTCATTGAGATCTTTCAGAAATCTCTGAAGTTCTGGTATTTCTGGGAAAAGTAATTGGAATATTAAATGTAATTTCAATGAAATGTACCGATAAGTTTTCCTTGTTTGGATTAAACTATACATGGAAGCAGAAAATGCAAAGCTCAAACACATGTCCTGTCCTGGTGTTCACACATGGAGACATCACCTACCAGTGTCCTCTGGATTTAGATGTTTCTTTCTCAGGAACTCTTTGGAGCTCACTGTGAACACGCTGAAGCAGTCCTCACTGAAGCGGTTCTGGGGAAAATGGGTTTTAAGATAAGATATAAAATAAGATGAGATAAACTGCATTGGTCCCAAACCGGGGAACTTCAAATGTTCCAGCAGCTGGATGTAAATAAAGCACAACAGGAAACAGGAAATGAACTACGAAGGTTCTTAATTAAAAGGTCGTTTTAGGTAAAAAGCTGCTGGGTCACAGTTGCAGTCTGTAGCTACAACCAAGAATTTGTGTAGATTTTCTGTCAGTCTGTAAAACTCACCTTGACCTGCTTTAGATTGGCAAATTTGTCGATGACTCCTTTCTTGACCACCTTATTTCTTTTAACTATGCGAGCATGAACAACATCTTCAGACCTATAAGAAAAGAAATAGTGGCACATCATCCTGCTTTTAAAGCACTGAAACCTGATCTTTTTTTGAAAAGATCACTTCATTTCACTGACATATTAACATAATGAATGAATCATCTTTTGCTGAACTTGTACCCGTTGATAAAGACGTTAGAATTGCCCTGGAGTGGCAACGGTTGGTGGCAACAGGTTTTGGCAATCTCTGTGATGAGAGCCTGAGTGCCAACACCTGCCCTTTATAAGCGGTAGCAGAATGCACCAACGTTGCTGGACCGTTTTCCAGTTTGTCTGCTGAACCCGTCAGCTCCAGCCTGCCTGAGTCTGAACCTCGTCAGTCGTGCATTCAGTCTGACTTTCACCTGCCTGTCTGCCGTCCCCAGCTGTAAGCCGAAGAGCAGAGATATTCCACCTCAGTCTGCCTACAGCTCCTCGTCTCCTGCTCCCATCAGCCTTCCCTTTTCCCTACGCTGCTCCGTCAGGTGACAGTCAACCACAGGTTTTGGTTTGTGTTTTTTGTTTGCTTTTCTGTGCTCGGTAGTACCGGGTTTTGGTTTAGCTTGTTCTCCGTCCGTCAGTCCGCCATATCGCCAGAGAGCGCTTATGTGTTTAGGTTTGTTATTTTTTCCAGTCAGTCTGTTAAGTAGCTCCGGTTGTAGTTTACCGTTAATCTTTAAAAGTTTCTGTGTCACTGTAAATATCTGCACTGCACCTTGTAAATAAATTCACCTTTGCACTTATCCGTCCGTCTGCCGTGTCTCTGTCGTCTGCGCTTGAGTTCCTGAACCGTTCACAACAGTTGTGATCTCTAATGATAAAATCTAGTAAGACCCTATCAGTTTAAACTGAGATATGCTGAAATCTGCAATATAAAAGAATAGAATAGAAAAGACTAGAATATATCCTTGTCATTGTAACATGTACAACAAAACTCAAGTGCAAACCTGAATCAGTGCAAAAAACAAAAACTACTAAAATGCCAACAAAAAAGATAAAGAGAATATCATACAGTATAATTATTACACTACAACAGGCATTACAGACAAACCCAACAGACGTCTACATTCAACAGTTATTGCACAATCTCTTAAAGTCAGCTTCACTGTTTGTATATGAATGAATTATTTTATAGCAGCATTTAATGCATTGATGGCTGTGGGATGAAAACTATTTTTCAGTCTGTTCTCATGCATCTGTATCTTCTGCCTGGTGGCAGCAGTTCGAGCAGATTGTGGTCCAATGAGTCCATCAGTGAACGCTGTGTAGATGTTTCAGAGAGGGGAAAGACCAGCCTATGATTTTCTGGGCAACCTTTATGACCCCCTGGAGCACTTTCCTGCCACTGTGTATGTGAAGTCAAACTGGTTTGAGGAGTCGCTAATCCAACCGGATATGACATCAAACTGGAACTAACATTCTGAGGCGGCGGAGTCCGTGGGTCACATGGACCATAAAGAGCGGCGCACATCCGCTGCAGCATCAGCAAACAAACTGAATGAATGAAAGTAAGTCACTGTGGCGTTATAGCTGAGAGCAACCCCTGTGAGAAGCCTGTGCAGAGCAGAGGACATTTACAAGCAAGCAGAGAGGCAGCCGGTAAGGCAAATCATGCTAATTGTAAAGAACTGACTGTTGTTGGGACCCGATTGTTCCCAGTCGGTTTGCAGTTAGCATTAGCCTAGCCACCGGGTTGGTCGCTCGGCTAATGCAGCTTGTGGTTCATTCAAGTGTAATATCTTTGCTGAGTTTGTGTAATGTATGTCGATGATTTAGATAATGTGTATATTAATTGACTTGTTATGGAATTTGATGTCTTTCTCATATGTTATTTTGTAGCAATTTTTAACAGGAGTGTGTTTAGGTCTTAAATTAAACATCTTGTGGATTAAAGGCAGTTTAGGGAAATGTATGACATGTTTATTGATGATGCACTTTCAAGTATTTGTGATCATGTTGTTTATTATTTGTGGGATATAATTGCATAATTAATAGTTATCATTGTAATAATTATAATTGCATTTACTCTAATTTTGGTTTCTGTTTAGTTGGGTATTAGCTTCTTGTTTATTCTTGTGCAAATATTATTAATAATTATCTGTGGTAAATTCTGGTGATACATTAGTTTGTAATTTATTTCTTTTTGTTGGTTTTGCTTAAAGGTTTTTACCTGCATCATGACCAATAAGATCACCTGTCTTCACAACAATATTGAAAAATAAAAGAAGAAAAGAAGGAAACTTGTCGGTTTTTTGAGTGGAATCCAGTTGTAATATCTGTGTAAATGTACCCATCCCTTTCAAGTGGGGAAGCTGCACAAATTTAAGGCGTAACTTGACAGTGTAGCTGGGGAACCACACACAGACACAGGAAGTCACAATGCTCTAGAAGAACACCAGCAGCTTCTGGGGGATGTTGTTCTTCCTGAGGACCGTCAGGAAGTAAAGTCTCTGCTGGGCCTTCTTCACCAGCTCAACTATGTTCATGCCCCAGGTCAGGTCTATCCCAGCTGACTCAGGGTGAAGGCAGGTTCACCTGGGCAGGTAGCCAGTCGCCCGATGAATCGCCACCTTATCGCGGTGGAGGGGTTTGAGTGTCCCTGTGATCCTAGGGGCTATGTTGGCTGGGGCATTAGCCCCTGGTAGGGTCTCCCAAGGCAAATTGGTTCTGGGGGAGGGACCAGACAAAGAGCGATTCAGAAGACCCAGATGAAAAGCAGTAAAAGGGCAGCCACTACCTCGCCCGGAAAAGGGGCCCTGGGGCTCCGTGGGGCTCAGTTAGGCACAACCTGAAAAAGTAGCACGGGGCCGCTGCCCAGAGGGCCCACCACCCTCAGGGCAGAGGATCGGGGTCGGGTGCTATGCCCAATGGGTGGTAGGCAGGAGCAGGCGTCCTGGTGTACCACCCCCTGGTGGCGTAGACCAGCTCTTGGGATGTGGAACATCACCTCACTGGCGGGGAAGGAGCCTGAGCTGGTGCGGGAGGTGGAGCATTACTGGCTAGATATAGTCGGGCTCACTTCCACGCACAGCAAGTGCTCCGGAACCCAATTCCTGGAGAGGGGTTGGACACTCTCCTTTTCCGGAGTGGCTCACGGTGAGAGGCGCCGGTGTGGGGATACTCACAAGCCCCTGGCTGAGCACCGCCAAGTTGGAATTCTCCCCAGAGAACAAGAGGGTCGCCTCTCTGCGACTGCGTGTTGCAGAGGGGAAAACTCTGTCGTTGGTGCTTTTGCACCAAACGGCAGTTCAGAGTATTCGGCCTTCTTGGACTCACTGGGTGGTGTCCTGGAAGGGGTGCTGCCTGGGGACTCCATAGTTCTCCTGGGGGACTTCAATGCTCACGTGAGCAATGACAGTGAAACCTGGAGGGGCATGATTGGGAGGAACGGCCTGATCTGAACCTGCGCGGTCTTTTGTTTTTGGACTTCTGTGCAAGTCACGTATTGGCCATAAAAAACACGATGATCGACTTCGTAGTCAAACCATCCAACGCCTCAGAAAGGGGGAGGCAGGGATTCGCCCAGGCTTTGGGGGAGAACTGCTGACCCAGACTGGGGATCTTGTCGAGCAGTGCAAGGAGCACTTCGAGGAACTCCTGAACCCGGTAAACATGTCCTCTGCTGAGGGGGCAGAGCCGCAAGACTTGGGGTTTCGGCATCCATATCCGTGGTGGAGGTTGCCAAGGTAGTTAAAAAAGCTCCTCGGTGGCAAAGCGCCAGATGTGGACAAGATTCGCCCCGAGATGCTGAAGGCCCTGGACATTGTCGGACTGTCATGGCTGACACGTCTCTTCAATGTCGCGTGGGCATCGGGTACAGTGCCTGTGAAGTGGCAGTCCAGGGTGGTGGTCCCCATTTTCAAAAAGGGGGACCGGAGAGTGTGTTCCAATTACCGGGGAATCACACTTCTCCGTCTCCCTGGGAAAGTTTACTCTAGGGTGCTAGAAAGGAGACTCCGGCCGATTGTCGAACCTTGAATTCAGGAGGAGCAATGCGGATTCCCTCCTGGTCGTGGAACAGTGGACCAGCTCTTTACCCTTGCAGAGCTGCATGGGAATTTGACCTGCCAGTCCACATGTGCTTTCTGGACCTGGAGAAGGCCTATGACCATGTTTCCCGAGGGACTCTGTGGGGGTTACTGAGGGAGCATGGGGTACCAGGCTCGCTGCTACAACCAAAGTGCGAGCTGTGTCTGCATTCTCGGCAATAAGTCAAACACATTCCCAGTGGGTGTTGGACTCTGCCAGGGCTGCCCCTTGTCCCCGATCCTGTTTTCGGTTTTCATTGACATGATCTCAAGGCGCAGTCAGGGTGAGGAGGGTGTCCGGTTTGGGGACCTCAGGATGTGGTACTGTTGGTTCCATCAGACTGTGACCTTCAGCATGCACTGGAGCGGTTTGCAGCCAAGTGTGAAGCGGCAGGGATGCGGATCAGTATCTCCAAGTCTAGGCCATGGTTCTCTGCCAGAAACCGGTGGATTGCCACCTCTGGGTGGAGAGTTGCTTCCTCAAGCGCGAGATGGACAGGCGGCTCAGTGCGGCATCAGCAGTAATGGGGGCGCTGTACCGGACAATCATGGTGAAGAGAGAGCTGAGCCACAAGGCAAAGCTCTCAATTTACCTGTCCATCTACGTTCCAACCCTCACCTATGGTCACGAGCTTTGGGTTGAAAGAATGAGATCGCAGATATAGGCAGCTGAAATGAGCTTCCTCCGCAGGGTGGCTGGGCTCAGCCTTAGAGATAGGGTGAGGAGCTCGGACATTTGGAGGGAGCTCGGAGTAGAGCCGCTGCTCCTTCATCGAAAGGAGCCAGTTGAGGTGGTCTGGACACCGGGGGCCGCCGGGGAGGCTTCCTCTGGAGGTCTTCTGAAGACGTCCACCTGGGAGGAGACCCCAGGGCAGACCCAGAACACGCTGGAGGGATTATATCTCTCAGCTGGCCTGGGAACGCCTCGGGATCCCCCAGGAAGAGCTGGAAAGCATCGCCGGGGGAGAGGGAAGTCTGGAGC